GCCTCGATCACTTGAATTTGATTATACTCGTTGGATACGTGATCCAAAAACAGGCCTCAGACCAAAGTTACCTCATCCGTTTGCTTATCTTCCTTTTGGTGCTGGACCACGTAATTGTGTTGGACAAAATTTTGCATTATTAGAAGCAAAAATCATATTAGCTATGTTCTTACAACGATGCAACTTTAAATTAGTACCCGGACGAAAAATAGTTCCTGAAGAAAAACCTACATTAAAAGCGAAATATGGTACTTTTGCAAATATTAGTAAACGCGAAATATAAATTCATTTTGATTATACGCAAAAAAAAACAAATGGATCATTTTGACTTATTTTTCGCATAGAAATATATTTCTGTGTGAGTCTCTACTAATTTTCCTATCGAAAAAAAAATCCGCAAAAATCTGTGTTTGAACGCGTGTTTTTAGCTCGAATGGTTTCGCTAGATTTTTAATGCATATTTTCAAAGACGTTCGAATGTGTTTTGTTTTCGCGAAAAACGCAAACAAGTTGTTCGAGAACGCATTTTTTTACGATGCATTTTATTAGTATAAAATGTATTTTTTATTGCAGAAATCCGCTTCTATCCTATTCTTATCACTATAGTCTTATACCGAGAGCTTTATACGTATATACCGATATTCATATCTTTATGTCTACGTCATTATAGGTATATTCTTTGACCTATACTGCATTAGATAAATTTTCTATAAATTCTTGATTTTTTTTCTAATAATAATTTGAATTTTTTTGGATGAAACTCAACGTCTCTGTAAAACAAATGTATATGCATTATTTTGTCTGTATGGACACCATCTGTCAGATAATTTAGGAGATTGTAAAAGAATGGCTAACATTTTCCAATAGAATCTTTTAATTAATAAGAGGAAAAGCAAAATTAAGAAATCGTCCATAATGAATTGGACTAAATATAAATGCAGTTTTCCTTTCATTTACTATTCGTATAAAATATTCATTCATATACCAAAACATAGAGAATTTTGCACAACTGAAAACAAAAAAAGTGATGCGTGGCTGTTGACGTACGCTGTATTATAAATTCTCAGTTATCTAAATGCGAACAAAAAAGTTTATTTAAGGTAGTTATTTGTTTAAAGATGGATGTTTTAGTGTACACAAGCACAAAATTAATTTTTATTCAAAGAATAATAATAATAATAATAACAGTACGAATGATATAAATTTAATATATCATTAGTAGATGAAATTTCGATGGCAAAAGTTTTGCAACATACTTCATTTGACAAATATCTTGGCTAAGAAATAATACATCATCCAAATTTTCCTATTAGAAAATGCAGCATTCGATGCTGTATAAAATTCTATGTACCTTTATTTCAAACAATAGAAGATACACTATTTATAAGCTGTATTCTGTCACTCAGTTAATAAAACTTACTTCTTCCATAAGTTTTTTCTTGTTTTTCTAATGTTCTTCTCCAGTTATTAGCAACCATGCACAAAACATTCGTATTTATGATTCGAGTCTTTACAAAATGCTCTTTCAGCAGTACTTGTACGTATTTGATCATAACCTATATTTGTTTGACGCCGATAGCTTATCTTACCTTCTACATTACAATCGCCTGTTTGAATAGTATTCAAATCTTTATTTTCACTTAATCGTTTTATCAAGCCATCTTTGAGCGTCAAATTAATTAGCACAAGAATTATCATAAAACTCTGAAAAAATAAACTCGATCTAGCTACTAATGACATTTCTAGAAAATACGTTAGAAAAACGAGTAAATACTGAAAGAAATTTCTATATCTACAAAAAATAACATGTTGTCTAATCTCGAGAATGCACATTCAATAGAACCTATCAAACACTGTTTAACATAACAGTGTTATTTGAAAAATAAATATTTGTTTCCATAAAAAGAATACATTTCTAAAAACTGGAGGCGAAGTAATTTCCATTTACTGAGTCATAGAACACATCTTATAAGAACTTTATGTATTATGTTGTAAAGCAAAAGCCTATAGGATTTTTTTAGGGAACCAAATATTATGTTTTCTCAAAGGAAACTTTGCATGATGTATTGTTTCAAACCTAGGGCATTTATGAAAAAAAGAATATTGAAAAACTTTTGGTATACTCAGTGTACGTCAAATTTACATATGCATCTACATATTTATATTTCAGATAGGAAATACATATGTGTGAAAAGTGAAAGACTAAGATATAAATACTCGAAACTAGTTGGATCTGTAAACACTTTTTATAATATGTCCTTCATAGCAATCAAAACAGATCATTTCAAAATCATTCACTTTATTCAAAATAACTAATATTACGAGTATACTAATGTTTAGCTATGACTTATAAATATATTATAAAGTAGTGTTATAAGATTGCTTCAATTTTCTGGTTACATTCGTCTCCGTTGTAATAAGACAGCTTCAGGCACTGAAACCATCTTCAGTTATTCAAAGAAAGAAATCCTCAGAAAGGTCTCTTAATATAATATAAGACAAACATGAAGAACTGTATTTAAATATGTTTCTGAAAGTCAAAAGATCGAGTAGATGTATTCAGTAAACAAATATAGTTGTCTATGTTCGATAGAGATCGTCTACAGTTATAAATGTGGCATAATGTAACAAAGAAATTA